TTATTCCTAATTTAATGAAGTCGAGCGTAGTTTATGCGGCTATTTTGTTTAATAATAATATATAATATTTATTGACATTTATTGATTTGTATTGCGCAAATATCAATCCAGGGAAAGAAATTTTCATCCGCGCATAACATTGACTCAACAAAATCCTAAAATCCTAGTACATATTCCAAAAGTCTTATTTACAGATCGTTCCTAAAAATTAGTAAAAATAACAATTTAAAAATAACAATTATTCTTTAAAATCCTATATACAAATCCTTCTTAATAAAGAGAATAAAAACAATAAATTACCTGGGAAACGCCTTCTGAAATAAATGAGTTTTAAGAGCCTTCTTGAAAGCATGAACTGAAGATATATTTCTAATAAAAAGGGGAAGATCGTTCCATAATTTAGGGGCAGCCATGTAAAAAGATCGATCACCAAGCGTGGAAAGAGACTTGCATGGTCGAATGTTAAGAAGTTTGCCGTTATTTGATCTAAGATAGTACCTACCCCCTGTGTCTTTCAGTGATACAAGTTCGGAAATGTAAGTCGGAGCAAGTTTATGAATGACCTTAAAAGTTAACAATGAAATTGTTTACGCACGTTTGTAAGATTTGAGACAATGGTCTGACCGAGTATCAGGTTTGTTATAAGCTTACAGATCTTTAAAAAGCCTTTAGACATTTTCTCACCGCAAATAGAAAGAAAACTTTTTAAGGAATATTTAGTTATAATTCTGGCTGTAAAAGAAAGGTTTGAGCGATTTCTTTGCCTCGAGTTCGCTTTTGATAAAAGCAAACACCGGGAAGCCGGCTTAAAACATAAACTTCAGCTTTAAAGGGAACCTCCACTTCAACAAAAAGATAACTTTAAATCACAGGAAATAACTGTTACAGTCAAGTCAATCTAAAATATTTTTAAAGAAAGCGTTTGTATCCGAATCGCCATCTTGAATAATTGTGACGTGTAATGGTTGCCCTATTGTTATTAAACAAAAGCTCTTTGTGTCAGAACAATAGAGAAACCGTAACACGTCACAATTTTTCAAGATGGCGGCGCCCGCGAAATTTGAAAGTGAAAATAAGCGATTTTAAAATTCACTTTTCCTGACATAAACACTTTTTTAAAGACAAATTTCGAACAAATTTGTTTATCAACATAATTTTATTCGATTTAAACTTATTCTGTAGTAAGAGTGGAGGTTCCCTTTAAAGCTCGAAGACTCAGGATTTTTAGAGACACTTTAATACTTGTCTTCCTGAATTAAAATTGTCGTCTCTGTATATGTTTCACCGAATTATATTTCTTTTATTGATTGTTAGTACTGTCTCTTGTAATTTTAATCGCTGTGCCGATTGTTTTCAGTCGTTCAGTGAACAGCGCTTCCCGGAGTACTCAAAATGCCGCGCGTTAAACCGTTTTAAAATAGAAAATAAACATAATAAATTCTTTATTATGTTGGAGCGTAACTGTGTCAATATTTATTAAAACACTCGCCACCCCTAGCACTGCAAAAGTCAGAACCGGCTGCCCGTATAGATGATTTTGAAAATTTTTTTAACGGTTTACGGCTAAAGCCCACGCGTGCTTCGATCGTCCTGAATATTGAATGATAGCAATTTGTATCGCAATATTGTGAAATACTGCATTCTGTTGTCCGAGGTCTGTATGATAAAAACAGTGCCTCATAGTACTGTTTCACCTCAGATGTGATGTATAAGTGATATAAAAGCTTGGTTTACACGCACCCAGATTTGTTGGCAAGATTTTGTAAAGTAAACTTGTCGAACGCAAAAAATTCGGACGGAATTTTTTTTTCAGGCCTAATTAATCTACGGTGATCAAGAGCCATTATGGCTCTTAATATAAATGTGATCGAAGATGATTGCCAGTTTTGGGGTGTACTTATGAGGCTATCAACTCGATGTGAGATTTGGTTCACTCTTGGGCTGTTTGCAAATTATTTTTTGTAAAATCACTTAGCCTTTCCCTGAAAAGTCACACGAATGTGCTCTAAAGTTAACTGAATTGTGGAATACAACACGGGACGAAAAAACGGATTTACCGAACGTCAAAGGTGAAGTCAAACGCGCGATAAAGGCCACCTTTGCACACCTTTGTTCACCTTTGACGCGCGACAAATGTTTACCTTTGCTCGCGGTCAAAAGCGAGTCTTCAGGCGATAAAGGCCGTTTTTGTCACGCCTTTAACCCCTACCTTTGACGCGCGTCAAAGGTATATTTGATTAGCATTTGTACCCCTATCAAAGGCGTCGTCAAATATGTCTGAGACTCGAGCCAAAGGTGTGACAAAAGCGCGGCAAAGTTATGTCTTTGATTAAAGTCAAAGGCTTGTGAAAAGTGTCGTCAAATGTGTCTGAGCCTCAGGTCAAATGTTTGACAAAGTTGTCGTCAAATGCGTCTGAGATTCAAGTCAAAGGTTTGACAAAGGCGTCGTCAAATATACTGTGTCTGAGAGGCAAGTCAAAGGTTTGACAAAGGTGTCGTCAAATAAGTGTAATATTCAAAACAAAGGTTTGACAAAAGTGTCGTCAAATATGTCTGGGTTTTTAATCAAAGGTTTGATAAAGGTGTCGTAAAATGTAAGTAAGATCCAAGTCAAAGGCATGACAAATGGTGTAGTCAAATTTATCTGTAATTCACGCGCCATGAACACACGTATGTCAAAGGTGAGACAAATAAAACTTTTTACTTTGAATTTCATACTTTATTGTAGTCAAAACTTTAATTTATCAATTTTAGGCGAAAGGGCCAATACAAATAATTTTACTAATGCATGCTTTTAAAGTTGAAAGTATCTGAGTTAACTTTGTAAGACAATTAACTCGCACTTATAATAAGTCTGACTTACAATTGTCCGAAATTATCCGTTAACTTATGTAAGGCTAAGAGGTCTTCCCAGTTACTTTTAAATTAGCTTGGGACCAAGCTCCTTCGTGTAGAAAAGGGGGCAAATGAGCTCGCTTCTCAGTTTCACCAATTCTTCGGCATTTTTCCCCTCTTTATTTCATTTTTTTTTTCAACAACGATTGAAGGAGCTGACCACAAAGCTTCAAGTTAGTAACTTTGTATACAAGAATATGACAAATTATAGATAACTTTCTCCGTGTGTCGGAGAAACCCCAAGATGTTTCTATACCAATTCGGAAAACTCGCACTAAAGTCTGACTAAAAATATTCAGTCAGAGATTATCAATGTAACTTACGGCAGCTAAAAACACTTGCTGAACTGAATAAAAAATTACAATAAAGCCCAAGTTACTTTTCAATTAGCCTGATACCAGGCTCCTCTTTTGTACTGAGAAAAAAGAACGAATGAGCTCGCTTCTGTCGCCAATTCTCCTGCTCTTTTCACGTCTTTATTTTAATTTTTTTCCGACAAGGACTAAAGGAGCCGACTCCTCAAACTTTTCCAAATTAGTATTAAACTTCGTATCATAAAAGAATATGCTACTAACAGTTTTATAGGGAAGCAGGCTCTAATCACTTCTTTCAATGGAGCTAATGTTGATAAAATATAGATAACAACATTATCAGTCTTGGAACATAAAACCGAAAGATGTTTCTGTATCAATTCTGCGTACTTGAACAAAGATAGCTATGTCAATCCAGATCTTATTTCAATACGGTTGTTCAGCGTTGTTCAGAATGTTCTTTGTATCTTTAGGCCATTTCCAAGTTCTCTCACTTTTCAGTAAAACGAGGCTAAGTGCAAAACCTTTGTAAAATGAGTTTTATTTTCATAAATATGAAAAGTCAAATTTATATCAATTGCGCGCACTTAGCCTCTCTTTAAAGTTAGTTTTGAGGTCACTGGGGAAAGGGCGTATTGTTTTAAAAAGATAATCAGCAAACACGAAAACTAACTCAGGCCAAAAGTCGAGGCTAAAAATTAAAAAAGGTAACGATTAGGCTGCGAAAGACAGACGTTAGCGTCTTAGGGTTACGTGGCTTTGTTTGTCTAGCTAAAAAAAGGGAACCTATGTGGTCACATAGCTTTCAAATTGCTGACTTGGTTACGTTGCCGCTTTGTTGTTCGCGCATTTGAGTTATAAAACCATAAAAAACTGCAATCAAAGGGAGTTTCATCGATTTACTTTCATCGAACGAAAATTCGTCTTTTGTTTGGTTCACAGAAATGCCATTGTTTTTCTTGGCCTTCGAAACGCATAGAAATCTGACCACGAGAGTATTTTTGCTTTAACAAAGAAGCCACGTGACCCAAGTCATAAACGATTCAGACGTTTGGCGACAATGGCAACTGTCGCGTGTGTCCTTGAATTTTTGATAGTAACTACTTACCAACACCCAAAAACTAACAGAAAATTTTCAACTTTCACCGGCACTATGACTTTGCGGGCCCCTCACCGTGCCAAAGAAAAAAAAGAAAAATCGAGCTACCTGTAATTGTAAGTGACACAGGGATTCCCTGCGGTCTAACACAGGCGGTAAAAGTTCTTTGGTGGACCTGGCCCTCCAACTAACAACAGTCGAATTCCCCACTCTGATTGGTAAAAAACTCATTGTCTATAACAATTCGAATTTTCTATGACTGAATCGCCTAAAGAGTTGATAGTGAGTTCGTTACTCAGAGTGCGGAATCGTCATCCAGTCAGAGTGCATTCTGATTTTCCGCTCAGAGGGTCTCAATGGGATTATTAAACCGTCACCCGTCAAAAAAGCTTATTTTTTACCGTTTTCACCCTGTTTTTCACCGTTTCAAATCGCTTACTAGCTCATCATTTCAGCTGATCTTCACCGACTGGCTCCTTTAAATAAAGGTCACGAAAACCTTCAAAACACAAAAGTTTGATATTTGTTTACACAGAAGTTTCTATTTTGTGAAACTCTTGGACTAAATTTCCACATAATTAAACTTCTTGTTGTTATCAACCGTCAAAATTGAAAAAAGAAAAAAAAAAAGCCCGGCTTCAAAGTTACCTCCCCATTGAGACCCCCATCCAATTCGCTCTTGCCTCATCTCGGTATTACGTAGTTAAGGGCGGTAGGCGGATTGCCCACTGAGGAGCGTCTTGCGGGGCAAGACGCTCCGAGGCATTTTCCGATGACTCTCTGCGAGTCATCATAGCCGCTGCTTTAGAAGACCTTCTTCGAGAGGACTTTCGGTCCAGCGACTTAACTAAATCTTCCAATTCAGTAGAGCGCCACGGCAACTTTTTCGTGAGGAATTTTTTCCTTTTGACTGTCGTCGCTTCGGCTTCATCGTCACCTTCTCTATGTTCCCCTTCCTCTGCCTCACTGTCAGAGGCAGAGTCATCGGAGGACATGTAACAAGCCTGAATCGCTCCTAGGTATCGGCTTTTATCCTCCTCTGAAATTGTCGTACTAACCTTGACGGCTTTTCTTCGCCGTGCTGCTTTCTGGAAAATGATAACAGCAATAATCCTTAACAACATGTCACACATTTTAGGGGGGAGGCAGCGTGGCTGAGGTAAGACCATTAATAGATAACAATATATGTGGAGGCGCACTTACGTGTCCTTGGGTAGTAAGACAAAACTAATTCATTCAGCTTTGGGCCGAAGTTACGAGAAATGCTAGAGATGGATACCGTAAACAAAAACGGTAAATTTCCTTCCCAATCGATTTTGAAAAAGATAAGCCCCTCCAAACAAAACCATGTTTATCACGCGGGAAGCGGGAGTTGGACGTCACGTACATGAACTATGATTGGTTGCCTTATTGGAAACATTGTCCTAAGAGCTCTGCTTTGAACTCTGACTCGTTGTCATCTGACATGTTTGAGCTATTAGCTGAAGATGTCGGAACACTTCAGATTAAACGTGTTCTGTTTTTCATTTTTGGACGAGGTTATGAGCGGGTGGACTCTCTACGCAGTTCTTTCCTTATGGTTCTCTGTTAATGCAAAATCACCTTTTTGTAACTAGTCGTATTCGAAAACTACGGGGCTTGTTGAAATGGACGTGACCGGCTGCAGCGCGCTCATGGGATCGGAACAACGACTCGACGGTGACATTTCCAGCTACGATTCTCTGAAGGCTATAAGTTAAGGCATTTGACTTATCGTCGTTGGCCGATCGATATCTAACATGGAATTAATTCCGAACGTTTTTTCAGCCGTTGTTTCATCGTTGTACTTGCGAGAATCAGAGAATGCACATTTAAACACATTACGGAGCTTACACATGAAGATGTAGGGTCTGGTTAAGTTACTGAGTGTCGTGAAAATTTTGAAGTTAGCAACTTCGTTACTTCGCAACCATTGAGGTAAGCATGTTTTTAAAGTATAAAATAGTCTGAGGCCCTGTTTACAAGGCGGGAGGGTAACCCTGGTGCTTGCCTTCTAAACGCTCGGCTAGGGATAACTCGCCTACCCGGGTCAACTTTCTGCCATCATGTGTGACCAGTAATCGTGCCAACTTGAACGGTATCATCCAGTTTCTGAGCTTAATTATAAATGCATCTGAAAAATAACATGTTATTTTCTGTCTACGACGATAATATTTTCCCCTTTTTTGTGAATTGAACGTGTTTTCCACAGAGAATTCGAACTTCAAGATTATTTCAAATATTGGACCGTTACAAAGAATGTCACGCATGACGAAACGCGTTGGCAAAGCTTGTAAAGTTGACAAGGGTGATAGGGTAACCCTGGCTGAGAAATTTGCTTGTAAACCAGAAAAAGGAGAATGAGAAATATCGTCAAAAAACTCTATGGCCCTATTGGGCCACCACACAACAGCTACAGTGTATCTTCAAGGATTAAATTTATGAGCAAAAAAACTGTTAAAATTTTTGTACACGTATAAGATCATTCACGGGAGAGCAAATTCGAACAAACAGTCCCAAAAAATTTGCAAGAACTGCTCCTCAATAGTTTGCACTAAAAACAGGCTAACTTTCTGACATATAACAAGCAGGCTTTTTGCATCTTTTTCTTTTTGAATATGCCAACCAATCCTGTAATTTGACAAAGCTGAATTTTTGTGACACAAAAGTAGCTTTGTTGAATGTTACATGGAATTAAAGGCGAACGTTCCAATTTGATGTTGCACGCTCATGAACTAAAATATCTGCCTTAAATGAATCCTTTTGATCAGTTCTCAACTATCAGAACCCTTACCTCATGACGCCTTTGCAGCCGCCTTTGTCTCTTTAAAACTTGATCTGATACCCCTGCCTGTCTGTTTTTTTCTTTCCTCTTTTGTGAATAAAAGTAGGTCTTAATGGCTCCTGTAGAAGTGAATTTAAGTCAAGTTTAAGTTCTAAAACTTAATTTACAAAATCATTAGGGGATAAAGATAAGTTTTGGGGTGGATTTTTAGTGTACAAATACGAATACAAATACAAGTATTACATAGCAAATTATCATTTACCAGAAAAAATGATAACATAGAACCATCTTACTTGCTACAATATATCCTTGTGTGCTTTTATCCGTTGCACGTACTCTTCGCAATGTCTCCGTATTCACTTGTTTGTTCTCTTGTGAGGAAAGTGGCTTGCTGTTGAATTGTCGTGTGTAGCACAATATTATGTCAGTTTGCAGTCTTATGATGATGTTGATTTACATTAGATTTTATGTAAAATTAGCTACCGGCAACAGGTATTAAAGAGTAGGGATCAATTATTAAAGCTTATTGGGAACTGCCCACCAGTCTCCCCTAACACAGTATTTTGTCCTAAGCGAGACGTTGTATTGACGTTGGGATAAAGGGAGGGGTGGGTGGACAAATTTCTAGACTCCTAATAAGTGTATATAACATAAACTGTAATGACATTTTTTATAGGTTCAGAATGGAAATTGATGTTGCATACCTCAAATCCCAAGACTGGCCTTCCACTTCCATAACCGCCAGGTGAACAGCTCTCTAACAGATGATAACAGAATTTAAGGTTGGATATATAAATTACATATGCTTACATGCACACAGTTTTACTCTATCGTGATCAGACTGCATACTCAGTACTGTATCAGCTAAACTGTTGTTTAAAATTGTGTTCATGTTCAGTTTGCATGAAATTAGGGACTGGTAAAAAAGTATGGGGGGGGGGGGGCCGGAGCAGAGAGGGGGTGGGTCATGAGGTTTTGAGCCTTGTGCAAGGGGTGGGTCTTGCAATTTGCAGCTACCCTTAGGGGGTGGGTCACCCTATTTTATTACATAGATAAGCACTAACTACTAACGAGACAGTTGACCACACTTGTTATATAAAACACAGCCAGCTGGAATTATTGCTAAAATACTCACAAACCTGTTGTGCGAGAAAATACAACGGGTGACAGACCGCACATCCCGTGAACCCTTTGTTATTAAACCTTTTTGGAGGGGGGCTCTAACGAGCATGTCCTTTAATGATTTTCCCTTTTTGTAAGGAAATGATTGGTGGTTCTTTAAAAATTTATTAAAGTTATGGTTGGCTTTGTATAAGATTCCATTTTTATTACTCAAGCTTCCCTTATATTAGACACTGAGGGTTGGTATTGTGTCACAGATGGCAATAAATCTTTTTCCTCCTTGTAGGTTTTGTTTTAGGAGTTTAGACTCGTTTTTGTGAATTTTATTTCTGATAGTAGGTCTTCTATCAAAGTTTGTGGGTAGCCTCCGTCCATCGAGCGTTTTTTGAAATATTTTCCTCAAAGGTTGTTTCTGAGGAGTTTTTTCGTAGGATTCTCAAGGCTTCTCCTTTGACAATCCTTTTTTAGCACTTGGAGGGTGACATGAGGTGAAATGTGTGTGCAAGAAGGTTTCTGTTTGTTTAAAATGTGTCTTTGCATCGAGGATAGAGTTTTTTTGAATCTTGTGCCTTTGTATTCAACCGTGTCTAAAAACTCTGCATCTCAGTGTCACATGTTTCGGCCATGAATTTAATAGTTGGGTGATGTAAGTTTGCTTGTTCCATGAAGGCTTCAATGTCTGGTTTACTCATGTCCCATAGGGAAAAGACATCGTGTATGTAGCATTTCCAAACTGTTGTTCTAAAGGAAGGTTTTGCTTAGAGTTGTTGTTTCAATATATGTCATAAAAATATTGGCAAAGGAATCAAAACTGCTGTCTTTGTGCCCATTACAGTTCCATGGTTTTGTAGGTAGTGCTTTCCATTGAAGTGGAAGAAATTTTCTTTGAGGATTAATCTAAGAATTTCCGGCAAGTAATGTGTAGGAATGGGTTGTCTTTGTAGAAATTTTCATATGCGTTGTGACATACAATTTCAATATACCCTCGTTTTGCTGTGTATTTGTGTCAAGACTCATAACGTCCACCGAAACAAGAAATGTTCGGTTTTTCACATTTGTCTTTTCAGTGAAAGGTATGATTTCTGTGATTTTGATATTTGTTGTAGCAGTGTATCAACAAATTTTGTCAAGCACAGAACAAGGTTAGGCCATCCTCTTTTTTTTCTCCGTTTACCTTCGTCCGACCGACCCAAATTTTAGGCATTTTTTAAAAAAAGAAACGACATAGTTACACCATTTTTCACGTGAAATAATTCTTTTAATCTGAAAAATGAGCATAGTAACAGCACAGAGAAAAACAAGAACAAAAACATGAACATTTTTCACAGTAAATTTTACATTTTGTTAATCCAAATATGTGAATGTTAACTTTTAACGTCGTCCTGGGGTACCAGGGGCCTACTATTCCGAGACTTCTTTTGATTTTTTTTTAAATTTTTTTTTTTTTCAATCCGACCGCCTAATCCAATATCAGGAAACGCATTCGACGGTAAACGAAGAGAAAAAAGGGGATGGCCTTAGAGGAAACCAAACATCCTTGTTTTAACTAGGGGGTGGGTCATGCAATTTCCAACCTTGCTTTGGGGGTGGGTCAGTCATTTTTGTGCCGAAGGGAAGGGGTGGGTCATGTGTTTTTTATCAACCACATTTTCAAATGCTCCGGCCCCCCCCCCCCCTATACTTTTTGACCAGTCCCTTAGGACCTATGAGTCACAACATTATTTATAATAAGGTGAGGTTGATGTCTTATGTATTCTTTCATTATAATTGCCGTAAAAATGGCGGGAAATTTAGTCTTTGTTTTATAGCCAATAAAAACTGCCAGCTTGAATTGAAAATTGTTTCATTCACAGCGTTTTCTTCTCAAATTGCTTAAGTAAAATGTTATCAGTCACTTTTTCATTCAAAGTAAAAAGAAATCACTTGTTGATATTGTTAGGAGAATAGCTCACATAAGCTTACCCATTTATCGGCCAAAAAAAGGAACGAAATGAAGAACACCAAGTCAACAGGCGGCCTAAGCTGAAGCTTACTGTTTAATGGTCGGGTTTCGTAGTCAACTGTTAGTTAAAAAGCTCACCAAAAGCAACTCTCACCTCTACTTTTACTGGCACTTGTTTTCTTCTGTTCTGACCCGCTCGCCCTTCGTTGTCTTGACCTGTCCCCAACTTTTCTATTATCTGGTTATTTTGTCTTTGAATTGTTTGTAGTAAGTTTGCAATACCGTCTTCGTCTTGCCTCTCGAAAGAAAGTGGTCGCGCCACCTGAGCATTACCTGTTCTTCCAGAAAGCATCTTTAAAGCGGGAAAACTAAAGTAAAGATACCTTACTGAGAGATTTTTGTTGAACCACGCAGCGCCAAAAGATAAAGTTGTAGTGTTTAGCAGGGCGGACTGCGTACATTTCCCGCTTTTTTTCACGTAAGCTTGCTTTCCATGGCTTTCCATAAAAGGAGTTGCTTGACTAGTTTCCAGGATTTCTCTTCTTCCCTTAGACCTCGAGAGCAAGGCTGCGTTTTTTAATGCTGACCGTTATTTTTGACTTCATTTCGGTTGAGTAAAAAGACAACGTATTTTGCGATGGAAGAGAAATCTATTTTTTGTCCTCATTGTGGTGAATATGTAGCTCCTCGAACCTTTCGCAGACACAAGGGCTCATACTTTAACACAAATAATGCTTCGTGGGATGGCGAAAATCTGTCCTCGTCAGATGAAGAGTCACCAAGAGAAGAACACTCTGAACCGGTAGAAATGTATGAGCTAAATGAACACGGTTCCAATGATGTTCTTGAACAAGAAAACGAAGCAGTCGAGTATATGGAGGTTGATCCCAACAGATCTAGGGTGGAGTTTTGGGAAGATGCTTTGGATGACGTTTTAGCAGACTTCAACGAAGACAACCCGGATGATCCCCGCCGCCTATCGATTGATGTTGACGTAAATGCTAACGCCTATGTCAAACAGTTTGCCCTAGTGAAGTGGGTTTGTTTGTTTTTGTTGTTTTGGACAGCTCATTTTCATGTGTCGGACAACGCCATAGCCCTAATGCTTCAGTTTATACACGTGCTGTTTACTGTGATCGTACGTTATGTTCCTTGGTTTGCACCAGTTGTCCTTTTATTGCCAACCTCAGTTTATCTTCTTCGTAAGACACTAGGGCAATGTGGTGATAGCTTTACAAAGTATATTGTTTGCCCGCACTGCCACTCACTTTACACTTTCACCGATTGTTTTGTGACCATTGGTAGCCAAAGACTGTCAAAGAGATGTTCGCATCGACCTTTTCCTAATCACAGACAAAGAAGGTATAGGGCGACTTGCGGGGAACTTAACGGTGGATACCTTTTGAAAGAGGTAAAACTCAAAGATGGGCGAAACAGGTTATATCCTCACAAAGTGTACAGTTACAATTCTATTTTAGCCACTTTGAGGACTTTTTTCTCTAGGGAAAATTTTTGGCTAAAGTGTAATTTATGGAAGAGAGGCAGAGACTTTGATTCTACAAATGCAACTGGCATTCTTGCTGATGTTTTCGATGGAAAGGTGTGGCAGGAGTTTTTATATGTCAGGGAGCAACCTCTCCTCGCGGGAGAGAGAACACTCGCATTTATGATTAACGTTGATTGGTTTCAACCGTTTAAGCTTTCAAGGTACAGTGTTGGGGTAATCTATCTTGTCGTGATGAACCTTCCCAGAAGCGAACGATTCAAAGTTGAAAATGTCATACTTGTTGGTGTCATCCCTGGACCACACGAGCCATCTGGAACCATTAACAGTTATCTCTCCCCTTTAGTAGACGAGCTTCTCGTATTATGGGACGGCTGGAATGTCAATGACGAAATCGTGAAAGGTGTTCTTTTGTGTGTTGCTTCAGATCTACCGGCCGCGAGAAAGGTATCTAATTAAATTGAATCGTTAGCTGATTACTTCTAGTATCTTTGGTCAGTTTCCCTTTCCTAGCATGCATTGCAGGAGTTTGCCCCGCCTAACCTAATT